GACTGAGCTCCCAAGGTCCAGATGAAGAGCAGGAGGAGGGAGAACATGAGCAAGGAAGTCAGCACCGGTGGGACTGATCTAATGGGAGCTCACCAAGGCCAGCTGGACTGGGACTGATGGAGCGTGTGATCAAACTGGACTCTCTGAGTGTGGCTGACAATGAGGGCTGACTGAGAAGCCAATGATAATGGCACTGGGTTTTGATTCTACTGCATGTACTGGCTTTTAGGGAGCCTAGTCTGTTTGGATGCATACCTTTCCTATACCTGGATGGAGGGGGGAGGGCCTTAGACTTCCCACAGGGCAGGGAACCCTGACTTCTCTTAGGACTGGAGAGGGAGAGGGGAGGAGGAGTGGAGGGAGTGGGAGGGAAAATGGGAGGATGTGAGGAGGTAGAAATTTTCAATGAATAAATAAATAAATCCTAGCTGATGACATCCATCCATCCATCCATCCATCCATCCATCCATCCATCCATCTATCTCAGCAGCCATAAGAAGAACACAATCCACCACAGGCACAGGGGCAGGCATAGCAAAGTACTGAAGGGAGACTGATTCTAGGATCTACTGCTGATATCCAAACCTCTGGATGCTCAAGTCCCTTGCCTAAAATAAAAGACCAGACTATCTGCAAATAACCTCCACTTCTTGTACACTAAATTACCTCTACAACACTGTGTAAATATGCAACATTATAAAAACAGTTTATATTCTGTTCTTTGGAGAATGGCAAGAAAAAAGGCCAAATACAAATTAAGCCTATAATAAGATACTATTACACCCCCACCATAATGACAAACTTGTAAAATGGACAATGCCACAGACTGGTAAAGTTGCAAAACAACAAAAGCCTCATTTGGGATCACAAAACGAGCACATGCACTTTACAAGGCGCAGCACCCGTTAAAGTGAACACGCAGGTTCCACGTCCTAGAGCGTTTACTCAGGCTTGTACCGAACAGGAAAGTCCTGTGTCTTTAATGAAGCAGCAGCAACAAGAACATCACAGCAGCAATCTTCATAATGAACCCAAATGAAACAACCCAAATGACCCACATGGTGCCCACAGTGGAACAGGTAAATTGTAACTGTCAGAAAACAGAACTGCCACCAGCAGTGATGGCCAGAACCAGGCTCACAGACTGTACACTCAGCAAAATAAGCAAGACAGAGGAGCTGATAGTCTACAGTTGTATGAAACAGGATGGGGGTTTAACACTGAAAGGTATGACTAACAGGAGACACAGGATAATTCTGGGTACTGGTAATAACCTGAGTTTTCACTTCTGGTAGAAACCTGGCTGTATTCCCTTAAAATGCTCATTAGACTCTTCACAATATACACATATTTTTCTTCAGTAAAAAGCAAATTAAAGAAAAGAGGGAGAAAGAGGGTGGGTGCCCATGTGTGTCTCAGTTTCCATCTGGAGTCATTTCTGACTTAAAGAAATCATTTGAGTTCAAGCTTGCCTGCTCTGCTTTTTCCTATAACCTTGAGGAAATGTGAGACATTTCTGATTTAGTCCGTGAGAAAAGAACACTCTATCTAGTAGACAGTATATTGCTGATGACAAACCTCAGGAACATCAAGAAAGAAAGTGAGGCTGTTTACGGGCAGCAAGTACATGCTAGAGGGGAGGCTGCTCACTCAAGGATAGGAATGGTCTTGTGATTAGATACTGACCAACTATCTGTGCTGTGCTTTGTTCTGCTTTTGTGTATAAGCAAGTGCTGAAATAAACTCTGGGCTGTTTGGCTGCTTGGGCATGACCAGACAGACCTCCCTATACTATCCTGTCTTCTGTTTCTTCTGACTTTCCTTTGGCCTTGAGGATCCCCTATCTAGGAACCCTAGTTGACCTTGTAGGAGTGGGCTCCTACAGAAGAGTGGGAAGGGAGGGAAGGAAAGGGCAGGAAGGCTGGCCTTATGGGTAATGACGGCTATCACTGAGTAGTTACTGCTTGTATTTGGGCAGGGGAAGAATTTGACATTTTGTGCTGTGGATGTCTTTCTGTACGCTGTTACTATGTCTTGATCTCATTGGTTGATACATAAAGTTGCTTTGACCTATGGCAAGGCAGGATAGAGCCAGGCAGGAAATCCAAGCAGAGATACAGGAAAAGAAGGGTAGAATCTGGGAGATGCCACCCATCCATTCAAAGAGCAACAAGCCCACAGACCAGTAATGCCATGGCTACATGGCAATACACAGATTAATAGAAACAGATTAATTTAAGATGTAAGAGCTAGCAGGTAATGAGCCTGAGCCATCGGCTAAACATTTATAATTAACATTAAGCCTCAGAGTAGTTATTTGGGAACTGGTGGGCAGGATAGAAATCTCCATTTACAATTTTGTAACATTTTCTTGGCCCTGCAGGATTAGTGGAAAAATGGAAGTTTTAAGAGACCCCCAAACTATTGAAATAATCCTAGGATCCAACCTGCCTGGTAAGTGGATTTATCACATATGTTGGTAATACTTAATATATGGCAGAGAAGTCAAAGACAGCAGAGGTCCACTTGACAGATCTGCTGACTGGACTTCATCTAGAGTGGAAACCAGAAAGAAGGAATGGCCAATGACCACTGTGAAATTCTGAGACCGGGTGACAGAACATTGACACAGATGGCAAAATTATAAACAGCTTAGATTTGCTGACATTGAGGTACCAGGTCAGGTGTCTGTAAGGGAAGGCAGGGGGAGGCTCACAAAGAACTTGCCTGCCTCTTCATCACCACCTGACAATTACTAGTCAATATTCTTAGCTAAATCTCCACAGGTCTGTTTATTTGAGGAGAATCACAGACCTGAAATCCATCCGGTATGATCCCAAGTAAAACACGTGGCCCTGGTTGGCTGACCCCCCGATCATGGCTGCCCCTCACCCCAGGAGACCCACAAGGCGCTTTCGCTCACTCTAGCTTGCCGCCGCCGCTTCACTTCAGCCCTCAGCTCATCTCGCTGTTTCCGCAATTCCTGAATCCTGGTTTTAAGAGAACTTTCCTTTGTATGAACTGTTGGATCTTCAAACTTTTTCCTTGATCTGTTCATTTGAGCCTCTAGTCTTTCCAGGTGAGCTAGAACACCTAATGAAAAAAAAAAAGAACAAAGAACTTCACAATTGGACAAGGGTTTAACTTTGGCAAAAATGCATACTCTAAGAAGTAACAGGGTTTTTGTGTGTGTGTGTGTGTGTGTGTGTGTGTGTGTGCGCTAAACACTGGCCAAAAGCAGCAACTGAGGGAAGAAAGGGCTATTTCATCTTACAGGTTACAGTCCATCACGAAGGCGACAGAGAAACTCAGGCAGGAACTGAAGCAGATTGAGGAACACTTGCTCAGTTTGCTTTCTTATACAACCCAGAATCATCTGCTGGTAGGGACTGAAGCAGATACGGTGGAACATACTTCCTGATTGGCTTCCTCATCCTCTTCAGTTAGCTTTCCTATACAACCCAGGACCACCTGGGCAGGGGCGGTTCCACCCACAGTGGGTTGGGCCCTCCTCCATCTATTAGCAATCAAGAAAATGTCCTAAAGAAATGCCCAGGGACCAATCTTATGAGGTAATTTCTCCACTGAGGTTCCCTCTTCACAGGTGTATCAAGTTGACAACCAAATCAGCCATCACAATAGATGTCTCACTTATCTAGAATCTGAGAGCCAGCTAAACTGTTAAGTAAATAAATTGAGGGCAGATACCTTTCCTGTTTATTGAGACAGGGTCTCTCCTACATGGCTAGTCTTGGACTCACAGACGGTCACCTCACCTGTCTCTACTCAGAGTGCTGGTATTATGACTCTGCCATAAATTTATAAAACCAAACAACCAAAGCAGAGACCACCAGCCTCTCTGTTGAACACTGGTGTAAAAGCCCTCCCTAAGTGGGATGCTTGTTTACGGAGAACAAGAGCCTGGCTTGTCAGTTGCTTGCTTTATAGGCCCCACCACTTCATCTAAGCCTGCTGAACGCAGAAACACACCCACAGGGTGCAAAAGGACGATTCTCAACAGCTTCACCACAAACAAGATCCAATATCTACTTTGCAAGGTTTTTGGAGACAGAGGTTTGGCAAGGGAGCCGCGACCCACAGGTTGAGAACTACCATCAAGAGTACGGCTTACTTGTGTGTGCGGAACAGTTTTAACACAGAAAGTCGCCAAACTTACTTTTGGTTTTGAAGTCACAATTTAAACCTGCACGTCGTTTATTATCTCACATTAATTTTTAAAAAAAATAAAAGGAGGGAGGGAGGAAGAAACCGAAGCAGAACTGCAATGTGTCTAAATCACAGTATTTACAAAGACAGAGCCCTGAATCAAACCCATAGCTCATCGACAAAGTTACTTACTACCCCACAGCGGCCCCTCCTCTGTCACAAGGTCTGGAAAGAGATCTTACTGCGGTACGGGGAAGGCCAACCCTCTGAATACCTCCTTTGCTCTCCCCGCCTTGACACAAAGTATTCGCGGACTCCATCTCTTGAGTTCCTCAAGCGCTTTTTCCTACAAAGCTGGCCGGCCAGGGCAAGTTTAAAACGGACCCAAACGTCCTTGACTGTAAACAGGAAAAAACAAACAATCGTCTCTCGCCACTTGGAGAAACCCCGAGGGTCCCAGGGTAGACAAGGTGTCCCCGCCCGCCTCCCTGGCTTTGAACTTGTCAGACGCGTCCACGCCTACCTCACCGCCACGGCCGACCGGCTGCAGCGGGGCTTCCCCCCCAGAGCACCGCAGGATCTGTGCAGGATGGCTAAGCCGGCGACCCGGGTCCTGCTTTCTCTCTCTCTCTTTCCCTGCCTCTGCCTCTCGAGTGCTGGGATTAAGGGCGTGCGCTACCCGGTTAGCTTTTTCAGAGAGAATTCACTCCGATTCCAGTTTAAGAATTCCCGCCGAGAGCGTCTTCGAAAACACCAACCACTAACCCCAGCATGCTTTGCGCTTCCGCCGTACAAAAACATGGCAGCGCCCACGGCTCCACCCTAATCCCAGCATGCACCGCGGGTTGGGTCCGGGCATTCAGATGGTCAGGAAGATGGCAGGCTCCGGGGCGGAGCCGCAGATCCTCGTACAGTATTTAGTGTTACGAAAGGATCTATCTCAGGCTCCTTTCTCCTGGCCCACGGGCGCACTGGTAGCGCAGGCTTGTCACGCCGCCACTGCAGCCTTGCACCTTCACCGAGAACATCCACATACGGTAGCTTATCTCCGGGAGCTGGGGCGCATGCGCAAGGTGGTTCTCGAGGTGAGTCGTAGGCAGGAAGTGTGCAGGAAGGAAGCTAAGGGATGGGCGCGCAGAGGCCGGAAGTAGTTCTACTCGGGCCCAAACCTTGACTTCCGGGAGTCTGTGCGACCATGCTGTTGGAGAGATCTTTAAGAATTTGGGGAGCGTTCTGCGGCTTGAGCTGCTACGCAATGACTCTTCCTCTGGGCAGGGCATGACTGTGAAGAGTGGGCATAGACCCCGCTGTCACAGGCGTCTCAGCTCCTTGGGTCACCAGAGGCTGGTTCCCGTGTCCCTTAGGTCCCTGGGAGGGCGGAGCTGGGAAAGTGCGGTCCTTCCTTTCTACCTGTGCACCAGGTGTAAGTCTTATAAAGCTGTGCCTAAAAGTACCACAGCCTTAATAAACGTGGTTAGTCAGGGAAATCGAGGCCGTTTGTTAAGGAGAAAGACACTGAGCTGGGAAAAGGCATATGCTTTTCAGAAGTGCTGAGTCTCATGACTCATTTACATAACACCTGTTTCTCTAGAGAGACAATTGGGCAGGGAATCACTGTCGGGGTGAGACTAGACGAACAAGTGCCAAAGGGACCATCGTGCCAACCGACCTATTTACAGTTGCTCTCAGCTTTCTGGGGCGGGGGGGGGCGCTGTCCCATGGATATAGGTGACTTAGATGCCTACTGGATTAATTTGAAATTTTTAAAAAGATGCTTAAATTATGTGCACGTGTGTTTGTGTGTGGGTATATGCACATGAGCGCAGATTTGCTTGGAAGTCAGAAGAAGGTGTCAGACCTTCTGGAGCTGTAGTTACAGGCAGTGTGAGCAACCAGATTTCAGAAAGTTGTGTTTCCACCCAGGTCAAAGGTTATCCTCAATGTGCATGCATAATACTCTAGTTTGCTTTTTGCTGCTGGAAGAAACACCATGACCAAAAAGCAACTTGGAGAGGAAAGGGCTTGTTACATCTTAGAAGTTACATCCATTCTCTGGGGAAGCCAAAGCAGGAACTTGAGGCAGAAGCTTGACGCAGAAGCCACAGAGGAGCACTGCGTACTGGCTTGCTCCCCTTACTTTCTCAGCTACCGCACTTATGCAGTTAAGGCCCACTTGCCTAGGCACTGCCCACAATGGCCTGAGCCCTCCCATATCAAATAGTTGAGAGATATGTCCTGCTTCAACACTAGTCTTGGGCGTGAGGGGATGAGAGAGCGAGAAGGAAGCTACACGTAATTCTAGAAATCCTCCTGGGGCTGGAGAGATGGCTCAGAGGTTAAGAGCACTGACTGTTCTTCCAGAGGTCCTGAGTTCACTTTCCAGCAACCACATGGTGGCTCACAACCATCTGTAATGAGATCTGGTGTCCTCTCCTTGACTGTAGGCATACAAACAGACATAATACTGTATACATAATAAATAAGTAAATCTTTTCCTATTGAAAAAGAAATCCTCCTGGTTGTCATCCAAGTCAGAGCTGGCTGAGGGTGAGGGTGAGCTGCTCTAGGAGCCAGGTGTAAGGAAACGAGAAACTACAGATCAGAATTCAAGAGGGAAGAGAAAATTGCATTTTATTAATAGACTATTAAGCCTCTTTTTCTACCCCCTTCCAGCCACTCTGTAAGATCCTAAAGAGTGGAAATAGCAAACCAGGGTGTGAAACTGTTGCTTTGCAGTTCTGTAGAGACACATCTCCAGTTTCAGAGCCCCTAGCACCCTTTTGTGACCTTCTGACACTTCCTAAATTGGCCATGCAGTCTGGGTGTTGTGTTCTGCAACTTGCAGGCTGCCGATGAGACCACCTTGAAGGAGCTGGCGGAGACCCTGCAGCAGAAGAACATCGACCACATGCTATGGCTGGAGCAGCCAGAGAACATGGCCACCTGCATCGCCCTCAGGCCGTACCCCAAGGAAGAAGTGAGCCAGCATTTGAAGAAGTTCCGATTGTTCAAGTGACTGCATTTCGGCAGAATTGGATGTCAGTTGGGCCCAGGAGCCAAATGCCCTCCATCCTGAAACATTGTGGACTTCTTGCAGTTAATGTGCTCCTCCCTTCCAGTTATGATGGTTTAAGAGCCAGCACAGGCTCAAATTAAAGTCATCGTTAGCGAGTACTTCCTATTGTCATTATTATTGTCACCAAATTCAAGCAAGGGAAGCTGATAAGCAGCAACATCATCTGCAGGTCATTGCTCAAGCAGAAGATTTTTTTTTTTTGGGGTTAGGAGTATTAGACTTCTAATCACCCAGGTTTAAATGTTGCCTTTGAGTTCTTTACCTATCCCATCCCCTCCTGCTTCCCATCACTGGTTTCCAGTCTCTAGTGCAGTAATAGACACTTCCTATTCTTCCCCTCTTTGCTGCCTCATGAATTCAGTTCAACACTGTCACCATCACAGCCAAAAATTGTTCCCTTCTCCAAACATGTATACACGACAGTGCACTGTTCAAAATATTTCTGTTAACGTGTACACGACAACAGAAATTAATTGAGCGTTTGGGAAGTCGAGTTTATATGACATAATCTGCTCAGTAGATACGTCTTACATGAGAGAAGAAAACCAGGAGTGGTGGCTCACACTTGTAATCCCTGCACTTGGGAGGCTGGGGCAGGGGAGTTGTCTTGAGTTCAAGGCCATTCTGTGCTACTGAGCAAGAAGACCCTGTCTCAAAAAAGCTGAAAATATTAAGGTGAGTGAATTGGCCAATGCCCTCTCCCTATAAAACGTGTGGTAATTAACTTACAAAGAGAGAAGACTTGCTTTGGCTGGCTGTTTTGGAGGTCCCAGGAGAAGACTAGGCAGGCTCGTGGAGCTAGGTGGCAATTCTGGATGGCAAAGGCAAGCGACAAGGTGGTGAAGCCTACTTGACACTCACAGCCAGGAAGCAGAAGGAGCAAGGAAGAGGCTGGTGCACCACAGTTCCTTCAAGGGCACGGTTTCAGCCACCTGAAGACTGCCCATGAGGTCCTGTCTTCTGAAGGCAGCACTGCCTTCCATTAGGGTCACTCTAGACCAAGTACTCAATCCAAGGATTCAGGCATGATGCTGGCCCCTGTCACCTGGCAGGATGCACTCGGGCAGGGCGGTACTCTGGCCAGCCCAGGGTCCTGTGGCTGCTCTCCACTACAGTCACTCCATAGTCTGTCTGCAGGTGAAATGGTTCCTTTAAGAGACAAGCCCCGCCCACTCTTTCCCACATTAGTCTGAAGAGACAGGCAGGTCGTTGCCTCTCTTTCTCTCTGCATCTATCTCTTTCTCCCTTCCCTCCCCTTCCTCCCTTTATCTCAATAAAACTCCCACATATGCTCTGCCTGGTTGGTATGCCTGTCTCTCACCCTTGGTGGGCTCTCACTCAGCACACAGCCCTTTGACCCACCAAAGTCCCTCTCCCACTGGTTTACAACACTTAGCATTTGGACTTTTGTTTGGGTCATATTTCCTTAAGTGGGTCGAGAGTTCCGGGAGAAACTGGTAGTGCTGAGGGCAGCACCAGGCCCAGGAAAGTCAAATGAAGCATAGGGTAAGAAAACACCCAGAACGGCATAAATCACGGAAAAGGCTTTAGCGGTTGGGCGTGTCCTGTGAACTCAGTGGAACCGGCTTAAAGAGCATAAGGGTGAAAATTAGATGGTCGTGTCTTGAGACAAGAATGGGATGGGAGAGAAGCGCTCGAGGCTATTTCAGGAAATTCAAAGGGAAGAAAAGAAGGTAAAGTTTAAAGGGATGTTGGAAAGATAAATTCTGGGTCCCGTATTGGGAGGAGGGGGACTGTTTTACATGTTTGAGGAAGGACACACAGTGCTCACAGCCAGCCGCGAGGCTCTGACACCACCTTCTGGCCTCCATGGGCACAGTACCACACGGTGCACAGACATATATACAGGCAAACACACAAAATGAATTAAAAAAACCTTAAATGTAATATATTTATTTTAGGTGTACGGGTATTGTCAGCATGTATGCCTGTGTGGTGTATGTGCATTGTGCCCATAGAGGCCAGAAGGGGTCTTTGATCCCTTTGAATTACAGGTGGTTGTGAGCCTGTGACTCCACTGCAGGCTGTCCCTCCAGGTGCACGTAGGTCTCGTAGGGCCGGTGGTTGCTGGTACCATAATGGGGTGTTGGTGGGAGAGGGTGCTGCTGCCTGGCCACTGGGGGTGCCGCGGGTGGGGGAGGGGCCGGGGCTAGGGCCTAGGCAGCAGGGCTCTCCAGCTGGGATATCAGATATTCACCTGTCCCTCCTGGTGCAGGTGGGGTGGAGGGTTCAGTGGTCGCTGTTGCGGCGGGCAATGGTTCCTTCTTTCTTAAGGAGCTTCCCAAAAAGATGGAATGTTTCAACCTCAGGATGAAACTGCTACGGAATACCTATTCTGGGAACTGAGGGTATAATATGGTCATTTGGTGGAATGCTTCTAGAATGCACCATCTCTGGGTTTGATTCCTAGCACCTTTAAATATGGCATGGTGGTGTAATGCTACCATGACAGACATGTAATGGCTGTCTGTGCAGGAGCTGGGATTGAAACAAAGGCCGTTCGTCAGTTCCGTTTTTGTACTTTCTCATTGGTATCTACCAATGTTTAGATACCAGTTAGAGGTGTTTTGGAAAGGGACCACAAGCTGTTCAAGCACAGGAACACTGCAGCTGCCTGGGAAATTGTTTAAATACATTCACATTAACGTCACATCCTCAAGGTCATATAAATTAGTACCTAGAGCTCAGTTATCACCAGTTGAGCTGACAGAAAGGAGTTTCTGAACTTGCGAAGTGAAGATCAAAGCTCTTTGTGGCACTGGGCGTGAGGAGGGCGCCCCTAGTGGGGAATGTGAGAAATAGCTTTATGTTTAATTCCAATACAGCTTCCACATAGACTTTCTGTCCTAGATCATCAACTTCTTCCTGCTTCCTGGGTGTTGGCATAAGCACAGGGAGCTGCTGTTTTTACTGATGGAACCATGTTGGTGTGGCAGAACAGCGACGATTGCTTCACTGGCTTTGCTGTGCTCTGAGGTGTTTTTGCTGAGCTCTGAGCTGTGCTCAGAACAACTCCAGCCTCTTTTCTGAGATCTACAAAGGCAGGCTTTGTAAGGGGTCTACAGTGGAATTTAGCCACTGGGGGGTTTGCAGTGTCCAAAAAAAATGACACTCGAGTTCTGATCCTAAGTTCTTAAGGAGGCAAGAGAAAATGCAAACCAAGAAAATGTGAGTCTGCCAAGTCAATGCTATCATTGTGGCTTTCTGCTGTCTGTGACCTGATAAAGAGATCAAATCTGCTACCTTCAAACTGGCCAGCTTTGATAGATTGGTTCCTGCAACTAAGAAAGCCAAACCAGTGAACCAAAAGTAATCATCACATAGATTAACCCTCTGAGGCCATGAAGAAGAGTCAAGAGGAGCATTAGGTTGGAGGCATCGGGTTAATTACATTCCATCTGCAAAGGGGGCTGCCAAGAATGTGGCCGAAGCCACCAGTCCCCTCCCTTACTCTGGCTGTAGGAAGTTCTCAACAAGTACAGCTGACCAGAGAGCCGTCTGATAACAGATACAAGATATACGTTCTGGGGCTGGGAGGAAATCTGGGACACTGGTAGGAAGATTGAAATAATCAAGGTATCAAACCACGATGATGCAGCTCCCGAAATGGAAATGGAAACAGAGAGAATATGGTGCCACTTCTTCACAATATAAAAGGAAAGAACAAGGCAATTGACGACTCCAGAGGATTTGAAATTAAGACTAGCTCAGCTATGTGCTCTGTGGCTCAGACACATGTGACTCTATGTGCAGCTATGGCTCAGACAAATTGCTAATAGAACAATTGTGAGATCAAATTAAGAACTGTTTGACTGCATCACAACCTAGTTCTCGATGCCCGTCTGTCTTCTTGGCCGTATGCTGTACTGGCTCTACTCCTGAGCTGTCTCAGTATTTATTTCTTTGAATGTGTCTTCCTTTTTCCTTTTCTTATCTCATTGCATTGGCTAGGACATCACGCACGCTAGCAGTGGTGCTAACTGGAATCCATGGGTTACTATCAGTTTAATGGGAATGCTTTTAGATTTTTACTGAATCAGAATAAGGGGGTTGTTTTTCTTTGCCATGGTTTCTAAAATTAAAACAGCATAAACAGATTTTAAAAATCAAATACCTTATTGCATCTATGGAGGCAACTGTATGGCTTTTCTCTGCTGTTACTGTGGTGGATTACACCGCTAGACTCCAAATACTGAATCATCTTGATTCTTGGAATAAACTCCTCCATTAGGGGATGGCTTGGAGCCATCGTCCAGTCTCTTTAAAGACTGTCTGCTGATGATTTCCTGTCTGTATCTTCAACTCCAACTTCTTCCCTAAGTGTCAAGCCCATCCAGGTCTAGATAGCTGCTGACCTGAGTTCATTGGATGCCTGATGGGAATCTCAACCATATGACAGAAAGTGAAACAAATCTGCATTTCCTCCCTGCCTCTGCTAGGGGCTGTCCCATCAGCTCAGACCCAACAGCTGGGAATCACCTTTATTGCTTCCCTTACAGCCTGCATCAGATATGCCAGCAAGTATCATGTCTGAGAACTCTACCCAGAATCTGATCACTTGGTCCAGGTTGTCATCTCTTGCCGCTGCAGCACCTCCCAGCAGATCTGCTTGCTTTTGCATCTGCTTTCTTTGCAACTATTTTTGTAGGTAGACTTTCTGTCCCACCAGGCACTCCTCAAATAACCACACAGAGAGTTAATATTAGTTATAAATGCTCAGCCAGTAGTGTTGGCATGCTTTTAGCCAGCTCTTCTAACTTAAACTAGAAGTTAAGAAATGGGTTAACTTAACCCATTTCTATTCATCTATGTGGCCCCACAGTTCATTTACCTCATGTAACTCCTTCCCATCCTGCTCACTCTGTGTCTCTGGTGTCTCCTCTGACTCTGCCCTTCTCCCCAGCATTCTCTCTGTCCTGAAAATCCTGCCTAGTCATCGGTCAATCATCTTATTATTAACAATGAGAGGAACACACCTTCACACTTTTTTGCACTTTTTTTGGGGTATCACCTGGCCAATCCCCTGAAGGGTGGCGGTCCTCGCCTGCTTAGGCCATGCTTTAGGCCAATGTTTTAC